GTGGTCGGCGTGGCGGAGGGGAGAAGCTGGCGCTGCTGCTGCCTCGGCAGCACCTGTTGGTGCCGGAGCCTCGTGCTGGTGTGCGTGCTGGCCGCGCTGTGCTTCGCCTCCCTGGCCCTGGTCCGCCGCTACCTGCAGCACCTCCTGCTCTGGGTGGAGAGCCTCGACTCGCTGCTCGGGGTCCTGCTCTTCATAGTGGGCTTCATCGTGGTCTCGTTCCCCTGCGGCTGGGGCTACATCGTGCTCAACGTGGCCGCCGGCTACCTGTACGGCTTCGTGCTGGGCATGGGACTGATGGTGGTGGGCGTCCTCATCGGCACCTTCATCGCCCATGTGGTCTGCAAGCGGCTGCTCACGGCCTGGGTGGCCGCCAGGATCCAGGGCAGCGAGAAGCTGAGCGCTGTGATTCGCGTCGTGGAGGGAGGAAGCGGCCTGAAAGTGGTGGCGCTGGCCAGACTGACCCCCATCCCTTTCGGGCTTCAGAATGCAGTGTTCTCGGTAAGTGGTGTCCCGCCGGCCCAGCCCGCTCCAAGTCTGTTTTTGAGCGATCTTGTGACGGCCCTGAGAGGGCGCTCCGTCAGATCAGCGCCCCCAGAGAAGTGACATTGACAACAGCAGTTACAGCTGCTTTCCGTCGTCCCCTGAGAAATCGCACACAAATAAAGCAAATCTAAGTCGGGCCCCCATAGGAGATCTGGTAGAGAGAGAACTATTCGTTTTTGACACGTGAGTTTGATTAAAAATGAACAGTTCTTTTAACTCTGAGGGGAGATGAATGGAAAGGTCCATTTTAAACATTTGTTATCTGATTTCTGTAGCAGCTTTGCCAACAGTCGGGGAGTAACGGCTTCACGTTTCTGGCTTTTTCTCTCGCCTGCCTAAATGCAGCCAGGGTTTTGACTTAAGTTTTTAACACCATGGGGCTATAGGAAGTGTTTGGGTGAACAGCGGAGGGAGTAGCTGTAGACTACTTTGGAGTTTCCTAAAATTTGTAGTAGACCTTTTCTTCTTCAAGTAATTTGCTTTAATGCGTTGTAAAGGGGGAAATCCTCCTATTTATCTGTCTTTGGAGGAACTTCATTTTGAAATTATTAGGTAGTGAATAAAACAAAATATGACAGATAACCTTTTGCCCAGTGAGCATATATCTTTCTTCTTTCTACACACCTCTAGACTTTTCTGCCTTTGTATCCTTATGTTCTGGTCATCCAACTTAGGTTTCTCTAGCTAGTGTGCGTCTTTGTGAAACACTGCTGGCAGGGACACCATCCTGTTTGAAGAAAGGAATGGATCTTTAGAAACTTAGTGACTTTGGAACACATTATTAACTTTCTCTGGCCTTGCTGTCCTTTTTTCTAAGGTGAAGGGGTTGTACTAGATTACTGGGTTCCCCAAATTCAACAATTCTACAAAGAGGTCATATAGAGATTCCCAGGAACTCAACTCTTCAGCTAGATTTCAAGAAAACGGTGTTTGGAAGTAAAGGAATATAGCATTCACAACCATAGGAATTGATGCATTTTAAGTTGTTAGTGATTCTGACATACTGTTTTGTTTAAAAAGTAAATTATTGATAGTCTCTAGAAACTTTCTCGTTTTGTATTACGAATAATTCTAACCACCTTACCTCTTTGTGATGAAATTAAGATACTTTTCTTTTTTCATCTTTTCTTTTTAAATGCCTTTTGCAATCTCGTGTTAATTCTAACCGACAGCAGCAGTGACTGTAGAATGGTGTTTGGTGGAGGCATGGAAGTAGATAAGAGGATTTCTGTAGAGATCAAGTTGGGTGTTTACAGTAGTTGGGTATAGTCGCAGCCTTAAATTTTTCCCTTTTCACAACCTCCTATAGTATGAGACATAAATGTGAACTTTGACCCAACCTTGGGTAATAATCGATCAAGTGTCCTAAGATTTGAAAGAGTTGGCACTAAGAACCTGAATAGTTTCATTTTGTTAGTTTGCTTTCTCATCTAGCATAGCTTGTATTCTTGTGCCTTTTCTTGTGTACCTACTATGTGCCTACTATCCTAGGCTCTTTCCACCTACTGTTTCTAATCTTTCAACCAGCTCTGCAGAACGTGATTGTACATACGCTGTAGACTGTTGTCTAATAGTTAGCAGCACAGGGCTGGTGCTCTGGAGCCCTGCTGTCTGCTTAGAATCTGTTAACCTTGGTCAAATTGCTTATCCTCTCTGTGGTTCAGCTTCTGACTTGTAAAATGGGGAAGGTAGTGGTACCTACATCATAGGATTATTGAGAAGATTACATAAGAAAATATATGCAATAGAGCCTGGTTTAACAGACACTCACATGTTGGCTTTTGTTGCCATTACTGTTGTTACCTAAGGTCACCTGGCTAGTAAATAAATGGTGGAGTTAGACTTTGCTTTAGGGTCTGACAGTGGGGTCTCAATCCATGGCGCTATTTCTTCAGTGTAGATTTATTACCCAATGTAGTCCTGGGTGTATAATAAAGACTCATTGTATATTTATTAATTAAAAGTAAGGTTTTTCTGGGCCAGCCCGGTGGCGTAGCGGTTAAGTTCATGTGCTCCGCTGCGGCGGCCTGGGGTTCGCAGGTTCGGATGCACTGCCTTCAAGCCATGCTGTGGCGGCCTCCCATATAAAACAGAGGAACATGGGTACGGATGTTAGCGCAGGGCCAGTCTTCCTCAGCAAAAAGAGGAGGATTGGCATCGGATGTTAGCTCAGGGCTGATGTTCCTCCCAAAAAAAAAAAGTAAGGTTTTTCTTTTGATAATGTCTCTTTAACATATTAAATATGTGAATAAGAAGTTATACTTAGTACTTGGAAATAATTTAAGGTAATTATGTAGTTGAAGCTTGACAAGGGGCAGCTCTCAATTTGGCATTGTGCTGTCAAGAGAAAAGAAGGAAAAAAAGAAAAAGGGCCTCTTGAAATAGGTATTATTGGCACAAGTTTACTGAGGGAGAAATGGAGGCTCACCTGTCCAGGAACTCGTTTCAGGGTCACCCACCTAGCAAGTGGCAGAGCTGAGGTTTGAACCCAGGCTTGGCGGATCTGGTGCATCATACTGTAAAATTCTTACTCAAAGCCATAAGCAGGGTGGGTTGAGAAGCCGTTGAATATAGTCTATTATTAGATCTAGTTCATTTCTATTGTTCTGAATTATTTGCTCACAGAAGTAACCTTTTCAACCAAAGCAGTTTACTGAATTTACCCAGGCTATGTGATTGCACAGGAAGCTTAGTTTAGGTTGATGTTGGTTTTGTTCTGACTTTCCCTTCTGCCTTCTGAACTTCATTCTACCTCCTCTCTCACCCCTCTGGCTGCCCACCTGCACCCCTTTCCAGGCATATTTCTCTTGTTTTCCTCTTCTCTTCCTATCTTTTAAATTATGTTGTTTTCTTCCCGCCTACTGCAGTTAAAAGTAACTTTCTCAATGCCTGTGATTAAAGAAATTTATGTGGGCTTACCTCAGAGAGGAAGTGAGAGGTACGAGTTATGAGACGCATGGGCTTTGGAAGTGGACAGTCCTTGACTAGCGCGTGCCATATGGCCTTCTCCAGGTTTCCTCATCCACAAAGTGGAGTCGAGTTATGAGGGTTAAATAAGCTAATGCAGTGAGGGCATTAAATATTGTGCCTGGCACATAGTTGTCAATAATTGTTAGTTATTGTTATTATCAGTGGTGGAGGTAGTAGTATTTACATTTTAGAGGCAGGAGCTGATGGTAGAAGGTGAATATATGGAAGAAGGAAAGGGCCTTTCTCTTGCTTCTTGTCTGTTCTTGGGATACGCACGCTGACCCTCTGCTTTTGGAGCTCTGGAAATAGAAAGTAAGTGTGTAACACTGTATAGTATCAATTCTTAGATCACAGGAAATATAATTTCTCAAGTACATATTTAAATTTTTTCCTCTTTTAAAAATGCACCCGTTGTTTCTGCTGACACATAGTTAAAGCTTTTATTTATTTATTTTTCAATGTTTTTAATGTAATCTTGTATCTGTAGGTATTACTGCCCTCGAAGACAGATTTCTAAACATGTAATTTGTGTGTGTTTCTAAGTACTGTTCTTATTTGGACACATATCCAGGATGACCATCGTTGCTTTCCTGCATCAGTCAGGATAGACTAAACTATGCTGCAGTAACAACCCCCAGATCTCAGTGGGTTAAAAGGCAAAGACTTGTTTGTCCAGTTGACTCAGGCCCTGGTTCAGCTTGGTTTGAGAAAGGGGCAGGGAGTCTCTACTTTGTGTCCTTTTTCTTTGGGATCCAGGCTGACAGAGCCACCCTCTTGCACTTGGTTACTGTGACACGGTGAATTACAAACTGGCTTTTTTTTTTTTAAAGATTTTTATTTATTTATTTTTTCCCCCCAAAGCCCCAGTAGATAGTTGTATGTCACAGCTGCACATCCTTCTAGTTGCTGTATGTGGGACGCGGCCTC